CGACTCGGGGGCGGCATTTCTCACAAACGCGCGTACATATCGTACATAACTTCTCTCGGCTCTTCTCGCTGCTGCTGCTTATAGCCTCTGCTGCAGAGTCTGTCGACTGTACTGCGAGAGAGCTCGTGTTGTTCACGATAGCCTCTCTCTTTCTCTCTCTCTCTCCGACAGGGGCACACGTGTGTGATCTCTTTATATCCGAGCGACAATGCTCGCGCTAAGGCGCATAGGCAAGAGAGTGCGAGAGGAAGGAAGTAAGGAAGGAAGGAAGCGTGGGAGAGGGAGGAAAGAAAGGAAATCCTGATATTTTTTGAGGCGTTGCTACTACTACCTACGACTAAAGCTTATATATCCCAGAGCTTGCAACTAAAAATCTTAATGGACGCGTGGTTACTCTCGAGTGTATACTCTCTTAGTAATTACACTCGACGACGACGACGACGACCGGTAATATATAAGAGATTCGACCGCGCGAGAGAATCGTCATTTTCTTTCTGTCTCTCACTCACTCCGGCCCTCGGAGGCGTAGAGGATAGCGAATGTCGGATATCGCCATGCGACAAAACGGATACTCGGGTAATAATAATCCTCGAATCAAGCTCAATCAAGCGAATAATTCGTAACATTCCAGAGTGTTCGCAAGTGTGTATGTGCTTGCAAGCTCGCGTAGCTCCGTCTCTCTCTCTCTCTCTCTGTCTAAGTCTATATGTTTGTCTGTGTGAGAGTGTGTGCTCAAGACACAAACACATATTATGTGGCACATAGATCAGAGGGTCGGATTCAATAACGCGTATAGCAGCTAGAGAGTGAGACAGAGAGGAAGGAAGGGACACACGTCCGGTTATACGGGTATATACGTCGAGGACTCGACGCGCGCACTCAAGGCGTCCGCGTGAAAGGGCTCTGCTGCTGCTGCCGCTGCTGTTGTTGTGTGTGTGTGTTTACGTGTATATGTACCGAGCACCAACACATAGTCCTCCTCCTCTGGCAGCTCTATGTATATATGGCGGCACGTATATAAAGGAGCGAAGCGCGGCGGCTTCTCTCTCTATATAGGATCAATGACGACGACGACGTAACAGCAGCAGCACACGGCGTGGGGATTTGCACGCACGCACGCGACGACTATTGACGTATCGTGCGCGACGACGACGACGACGACGAATTCACTGTCGTCTTCGCAAGGCGCTTGGAAATTGAGATAAATATCGGGGAGAGAGAGAGAGAGAGCAAGAAAGAGAGAATCGAATGCGAGAACGAGGATCAAGTGAGCTTTTCTAGGCTCGCGGCTTTATTTGTTAAGTTGGATTTTTGCTACGGCGATCTAGCTCCGGCGCTTTCTTATATTGTTTCTTACATCGAGCCCCGGAACACTCGCACACATACACACAACACAACGGGAACACGAACAATTTTCCCCGCTATATATATAGTACACTCTATCTGATGCTCTATTAATGCCCACTGTACTTTTTAACCCTCGATTACTTTCCGTGCCTCCTCCTCCTCCTCCTGTCTGGCTACGCGCTGTACTATATCTACTCGATCGCGCGTAGTTGTATATACGCCGCGCTTACTTACTTATTTATTTATCATTCGGTCGCGCGCGCTATGTATAGTGTGCGCGTCGGGCCATTGTTTACATTATACACTCCAGGGCTGCGGGATGATTCGGGCTTTATAATCATCGGTGGAAAAAGTTTTCTTTTAATTCCAATTAATATGATAAAATATTCCATCGATCAGTCGGATCGCTGCTGCTGCTGCTGCTCGCTTGGAGAGAGAGCAGAGCTTCGTCGTATACACACAGCTCTCTCTCTCTCTCTTCTCGAGCAGGGTGACTAGATATGTATGACGCGAAGTTTCTCAATCTCATAAAAATCCAATTTACGAACTTCCTTCTAATTAAGCGCGCGCGCGAGCGTACACACACACACACACATACAAACATCACCCTACTACACACGTATATAACATAGACACGGCGTCGCGCGCGCACACACCACCGTACCATAAACGCGCGCAAGCCCGAGAGCTAACGGAGGAAAAACACAGACACGCGCATACGTGCGCACAATGGGCGATTCATAATTTATTACCGCGAGCATTAAAAAAGAGATCCCTTGATACACCAAACAAACGACAATGCCCATCCTTCTCCCCCGGTCTTTATTCTGCCATCGCATTAGTTTAATTAATTTCCCCCTTGTACAGCACACATACATGGATATAGACACGCAGACACTGGCGCACGACACGACACACAGTTGTGTGTGTGTGTGTGAGTGAGTGTGCACGTATAAACACGAGTGTGCAAATACGAACACACGCGGCTCTCGGACTCGAACTTTATCGCACTGTATCGTCCTTTTCTCGAACTTCGGCGTGTCGAAATGGCCCACGAAAGTGACCCTATGTACAAAAACTTATTATACGATTGCGTCCTCCAAAAAGGGACGAAATTATACACGCGTTCGTTTCCGAAAGATTTCGACGGGAAAAGCTCAGGAGGAGAAGGAGGTAAAATCAGGGTGAGCTTGCAGAGTGCAGTCGTCTCGCGAGCTTTCGCGAGTTTCGTTTTCGCGCTCGAGGAAGTTGCGTACATAGCCCTCCGAGTTCAAAGTCGCGCTCGCACGGCAGGCTTATAATACGAGACGCGCCTCGCGCGCGAGTATTATAGTCGTAAATCTGTCGTTGCGCACGAGAGCCGCTGCTGCTGCTACTACTTAGCCGCAATATAAATTGTGACTTTTCAAAGAGAGAGTCAGAGAAGCTGAGGTAGGCAGTTGCAGGCAGCTCGCGCGACTGCCGGAGAAAGTATTACTCCCCGTAGAACGTCTTTAGGCTTCGATGCGCGCGCGTGTGTGTACAAGTACGCGGGGGCTGTTTACCTGCGTCGCGAGCTTTTTTTTTTTAGCCTATACACACCGCGCCGCAGCCGAGATATATATCACACGGTCGTGCGCGCGAGAGCTGGTGGTACTCTGAATTTTTTGTGTTTGTTTCTCGTTTGTGCATAGGCGCGCATCCTACTTCGACTTTATCATACACGCGTAAACCAAAGGAGGTGTGTACGTGTATAGGCAATTTAACGAAAACAGATTGGTTAATTTTTCAAAGACGTGTATTACTTACACCGCGCCGAGCAATCTCTGTGCATTAAAGCCCGAGAGCAAGGATATAAGCAAAATTTCAATATTCATCGCTTATTCGACGCGCTCTCTTATATCCCCGTATACATATACGTATACGTACACTCGCGCGGCTGTTTATTTATGCACGCAGGTACATGTGTAGAACAACATACACACAGCCAAGGCGTGTAGTCTCGGGGGCGCCTCCACTAAATCAAAGTAATGGACCGCGCGCGATCTGCGCCGCAGTCGTCTAGGCTTGCTTGTGCTTGCTAGTGCCTGTGTGCGTATGTGTGCGCGGGGCAATATTTGTTAGAGAGAACCCAACACTCTTTGCCTATGTGTGTGTGTGTGCGTGTGCGCGTGTACTGCTAGCCGATATTGTCACACGGATATAATAAATTACCGACCGATCAATCAAGTCACCCTATACGTGTCTTTTTGCTCCGCAGCATGGCCCTGCGTATACAGGTCCTCTTCTCTCGCGCGCGCCACCTTGTTTTCTCACTTGAAGCAAGTGTAGTATATACAGTACGTATAGTGGAGCTTCGTCGTCGTCGTCGTCATCGAATCTATACTGTCACACATTTATATATACCGCAGCACCGCCGCTGCTCACGTGTATATACGGGGCTACGCCCCGTTTTATATACGCAAACATCGACGCGCGCGAGAGATCCGTCCGAGCAGCAGCAGTTGTACATCGAGCGAGATATATAATAGCGATCGTATATATACATGTACTGCGTTAAATTCATTTGATTATCCTCGTCGTTAATGCAACTAAGCCCTCGCCGACGTCGTCGTCGTAGCTCTCTCTCTCGCTCTCTTGTTTAACTTTCGGATCAAATGTCGCGCGCGTTGTATAACACACGTACATAAGGGCCATCGATGCTCGCACACACACATTTCTTATTTTCTCCCACGTACGTCGTATTTGCGCCCCGCATTATAAATGACAATCGTAAAACAACTAATGAATTTTCGAGAGAGAGAGAAAGAAAAAAAATGGTCTACGCGGCTATTATCTAGCACCTACTAAATGTACGAGTCGTGTGTGTGTGTGTGTGTGTGTGCCACTCGCCCCAGATAATCCTGCCACACGTATGTTTCGGGCGCCACAAGACGTGGAGGGGGCGCGTACATATGCTACAGGCGCGTTTCGTGTGTGATGCGACTCGATGAAGCATACGACACACTCTGCAGGCTCCTACTGTAAGCACGCGTATGCAGCTCGAAAATTCAACGATATCTGATTCGCGTCATCGATGTCAGTATTAATTAGCTGCGCTGTGCGCGCTATCTGCATTGTAAGTGTATATTCCAGTGGTACAGCCAGCAGAGAGGGAGAGAGACCTAGAGAAGGATTCATTACTCAAGGAGCTTGTCTCTACGTATAAATATAAATATGTGACGCACAAACTGTATATTCCATAATGTGGCATGCGCTACATCCATTATACGGTCCCGCGTATTAGTAATCTTGATAATGGACGCTCGTATAATGTATAATGAAGGTTGGTGTATAGACCACGTCGACCTTCGCCCGTCGCCCAAAATGTTGTATATACCGAGCGACGCAACGACGACGACGAGGAAAACTCTCGCTTGCAACACTTAGGATGTTCGTGCGAGCTAGCCGCACCAACGCAGTCTTCCTGGCATTTGTTCTTGCATATAATAATATATATAAGCACGTGTCTTACCCAGCTTCGGACGATCCTTTGTCCTTTGCAGCTGCAGTGCTGCGCGAAAAGTATCGCACCGTTGTGGAGCAAAATTGATTCATATATACCCGGTATACCATTTGTTACAACATTAAGTAAAGCATTGTATCTAAGCGATTGCCCGTGTTTACTGTTTCAGATTTTTTTATCTCTATCACTTTACGTTCTACGCTTATCAATACCGCTTCAACGGGCAATACAGCAGTTTGGCGCTGTTGACGTCGTGGCTCTTTATCGAGGTGAGTATTTTTCAATTCATTTTTTTCTTTCTTTCTTTCTCTCATTTTATTCAACAAAAAGCTGAATTATTACGGGCGTCCGTAGCCGCACTCGAACAACGACACTCCGTACGGCGGTGCCTATATCGATTGAGTTATACCTTTGTTATAAGCATACGTATGTACGCTAGGCAGCTGCTTTATATATATATATGTACCTTAGACGTTTTATTCGGCCATAGTCCATATGGTTAAAGCAAATTGCTTACTCCCATTCGCGAAGTCATACCTACTCCTGGCTGGCTGGCTGGCTGGCGCTCACTTTATTTCCTAACTGCGTGTTTCACTGTCAAACGCAGAACGGTATACACTACGACGGCGACGCGCGCGCGCGCTCGTAGGCAATGGCGACGACGACGTAGACTAGTTTCTCTCCTCTTATTTTCCCTCTTCCTTTTGTAACTATATGTCCATAAATACGGCAGCAGAGCAAGAGAGAGAGAACAAGACAGAGAGAAAAATACGAATTGAATTTTTAGTCGTCTCTCTCTCTTTGTTCCATCATTATTTTATACGACCGTGCCATCACGAGCAGAATAAATGTATCATTTTCTTGAATTTTTGATGCATTTGTCTATACTTTGAGATCGTTTTGTCTCGGCTTATTATTCAACGAGCGCGAGGCAGAACAAAGATGCGAAGTACTCGCCCGGTTTATATACACTGTCAAAAACGAAACGTTGTTAAATTGGGCTTTCCACAAAACGCGTGTATTGCAATTTGCTGCTTTCCAGAAATATGAGCTTTTATTGAAATTCTCGATTTCGCTATCAATAAAGAAGAAAGAAAAAACTGTTACAAATTGCTCAAAATATAGGTGAAGATATTAAATAACGTAAACCTATATTCACAGAAACTTCAGAATTTTAATGAAAAATAAAAAATTTGAAATTATAATGGATAGAAGAAATCCTGCTCTAAAAAGGCTAATAAAAAATATTTCGAGTTTACAAGGTATACACAAGCCCTTAAGAGTTTGATAACTAAGGAGAGAGACTCCGTTCCGGAGAAATTCTATTTCATGATTCAATCGCCAAGTTCGATCGTGAACTTGAAGATTCTGCAGCAACCCTTAGGCTTTGGGTACAGGTACTTGGGCGGCAGACGTGTCCAGTGGTGTAGCGGCGTATACATATATAGCTGTTGTGCAGATTTTGATTCTACGGTTTTGATGGCTGCCGTTGCTGCTGCTGCTGTTAGTCCGGGTGTGTGTTGTATAGGTCAAAGTTCATCGAATGATTAAACTCCACGCGTTTGCAATCAACGCGCCAACGCGCGGGGCCCCGGCTTGGTTATCATCATCCTTTACTATATTATACTATGGATGTACTTGATTATTATTGCTTCGAAATTTCGATGCCCGAAACTTCTGCACGCGTATATATGTGTATATACAGGAGAGGCGAGAGACGAGGCGAGATTCCATATCGGTTAACTTATAAACTTATACACGCGCGTTACATTTAAAACGCTCGCTCGCGCGCGCGCGAGTGACAGAATCTGTTTGTAATTTTATCAGAGTCAATCGACTCGCGCGAATTAATGTCGAAACGATTAAGTGCACTTTTGCCACCCGAAATTCATGATTACTACCCTCTGGCTAAAATATAATAATAGCAGCTCGTGCGCCGCGTTGACCGTGTTGGTAAATCGGAGCGTATATTTTCCCAAAAAATTGTAGTTTCAGAAAATAGACGCGTTGCGATAATGATAAAAGCAATAAAGCACGCACTATAGAAAAAAACGTATCACGTAGCTCTACGAAGCACAAAATTAATGACGATCTCGCTTATTCTTTACGCAGTCCGCGAAAGGGGTGAAAAATCATCTGCAAATCGAATTCTCGATGCAACGCAACTTTTCATTGGTTGCATACATCGGTTTCGTTCGAAAAATCACTACGTAGCTCAGCGGAAAAAACGAAATTAAAGGTCTTTTTAATGCGTTAAGAGCACTCAAGAGTAAATCGAGTATCGTGTGTGTGCTGCATCATGTATACACGTGCTCGAACGGGGGGTGGCTTAGCACAGTAAGTATATAAGCGGCACACATGTGCGCGCCTCGATATGGTCGATATTATATTATGTCAAAAGTATACACACAATACTTAAAGTATATTTCTCGATCGATCATTCACTCAGCTGTGCGCGCGGGATCGGGAAAACACTCGGACACACGCGTGTGTGTAATACATCTATCTATATACGCGCAACAAACGCCCGCACTCATGTTTTATTCCTGTGTTTTTCCTGCCTCTCTCTCTCCCTCTTATTTATAGTATGTGCATATATTATAGATGTGCGCGCGCGCGCGCGAGTGGGTTTGTCGATGATGAAACTCTAACGAAGTTCTAGTCTCCGGGTGCGTGAGAGAGTGAGAGCTAAAAGAGAGTCAGTGCAGCGCGAGTGGGTGCAGCCCCCGATATTATTCACTGATACTTGAAAACGCTCGTGCTCGCGCGCAACGAGAAAATTATTCGAAAATTGATTTCCGATGAGGGGGTGTGTTTTTTTTTACACGCGCGCAAAACGAGTTTTGAAAAATTGCCTGTTACGAGAGAAACGTTTCCGCGATTCGTAACGCGTCGAATTACCGAATTACTCGAGCGTTCGCTTTAATCGAGCTTTTCGCGCGCGTTTTGTTTCGTTTCATCGTCAACGAATCATTTGCATTAATATCTCGTTGTAAATCGTTTCAACGACTGCTTTTATAAAGAGTCTTTAATTCTCAAAGCAATTTGATATTAAATTCTTACATTTTTTACCTAATGAAACAAGCTCAGCGAGCAAAAGCTCGATCCGTACACACAGAAGCGTCGAAAAATGTTGCGACACTGCTTCGATTAATGAAGCAACTATCAATTTGATGGTCTTTGGCCCTGGAAGCTGTGCGATCCCTCCCGCATACAGCCATAGACTCGCTTCATTACAGCAAACGCCCGGGCTAGTAACGACACGCATTATAATTAGTCCCCGTGCTCTTACTTGCGCGCGTGTGTTTAGGGGCTTCATTATTGCACAAATCTAGCGACGCAGCTCCAATACCCATGTCGCTTCGCGCGCGCGTATACATTTACCTATTGCAGCCAACAGGATCCATCATCATAGCGACATAGCGTCCATAGGTGCTGGTGGTGGTGGTGAAAGAGAATGCGGCGTGTGGCAAAGACATCGAACGCCGAATTTGGCCGAATTTCCATATAAATTCGCTGTTAGCGCGAATCGCCCTTTATATATAGAAAGTATAGTGTGTGTGGACTCGGCTGTATATATATGCGCGTACGAGAGCTTTTCGACCTGTGTGTGCAACGATATATACATAGCATAGCGGGGGGATGTCGCGCGCGCGCGGGTGGAGAGAAGTGCGTGTGACGTGTGCTGTACACACGATAGTCGCCTTTCAAACGCTGCACCAGGCTGCTGCTGCTGCTGCTGTGGTGCAACCGGCCATACGCATACACGCGCACACACTGTGACGAATTTCCAATCAAACGGACCCCGTAACGTCTCTTTCTCTCATTTCAAGCCACGCGAGAGAGCGAGAGAGAGCTCGTTTGTTTCATCTCTTTTAATACAGATCTTTAGCTCTTGTTTCTATCATTCGCGTATAGCGGCGCAGTATTTGAGGCTCATCTCGGTTGATCATCGTCCAATTGGGACAAATTCACCATTCGTATGGCTCTTGTATTTCACGCGCATTATAGAGTATAGCATCGAGCTTCTATTTTATATTTTATTTATAGCGAAGAAATGCGTTGCACTCGGTAAAGTATATACCCCCGAAAAGAAATTAAATTTCCTTAAATCGACCGTGTAAATCAACGTGCTTGCCTGGGAATTAGCCTCTCTTTCTCGTACCCGCGATATATATTTAACCGCAAGAGATGAATTTTAATGAGAAAAATGATCCCTCGTATTCATCGTCTGCGGCTGCAAAATATAGAAATAGAGAACGCGTGAAATAGGTTGACCTCTCCAAGCTCTCAGCTACTCCGCAGTGCTGCTCTCCCCCCTATATAGTATATAAACGAGGAGAAGGCTACTGCTGCGGCGCCTACTATATACACACACGCACGCACACACACACACACTCGCGTGCATATTAGTGGTTAGATCCGATTTCGTGCGAGAAAGTCGCTTGATTTATATTATAAGCATCCGATTTCCGCAGGAGTTTGCAGGCGAGTATATATAAGCCCCCGCGCGCTACGCGGCTATACACGCTCGCATGCTCTCTCGGAAGCTTTGCTCTTTCACGCTTATTCAAACTCGCACTCCAGGCGCGCAGCGCACATACACACATCGCGCGCGCGATGATGCGAATCAGAGAGCTTTCCTGGTTTCCTTTTCTCCCCGGCGCTTCACGCGCGCGCGCGCGTATGCTGCTAGCTGCCTCTTGCTGCTGCACAGAGAGGCAGAGCGAGAGAGAGATTAATCCTAAATCCGAGGAATATTTGTGCGTGTACGTACGTACACGGCTCGGCACGGCTCGGCTCGCTCGTTGCGGATCGTGCAAAATCGATGATTATATTAAGCTCGTCTTATGCTACAACTATAACTATACTAACTTTATTTTTTTCTCTTCGCTCGTCTGCTCCACAGCACTCGATGGTCTACTTCTTTCATCACTACGAGCTGCCTACCATACTCCAGCAGGCTCAGCTGCAACAGATGCTGTACCACAATCCCGGCGCCGCTCGTACGTTCGGGGCGCAGCCCGCGCAGCCGATGCCGCCGCCAGGAGGTGCCGGAGCAGCTGGAGCAGGATCGGGATCAACAGTCGCCGATGTTCAGGCCCAACTCAACCGTACTCAGAGCGATTATATAAACGAACTGTCGCGATTGGAAAGAGTGGTGCGGCCGCCGAGTCGTCGAGGTTCCCAGAGCAGCAGCGGTGAGTAGAGAGACGTACATTTATCCGTTAATTCTGTGCGTTGGACAAAAAAACAAATGGAAAATGTGGTCATGCGCGAGTGTATTTTGCGTACGATGTCCATCGTACACAGTAAGTAAGTAAGTAACTCGTCCCTATCGTGTCTACGGTTTAGTTTCGAGGCGACATTTCAGAAACGCGAGACTATCCGCAAGATTGGTCTCGAGTCATCTCAAAGCTCTCGGACAAGTGCACCACTAACTTCGTTCAATCTCCATTTCTCCCTCGGCTATCTACGTATATATCGCCGCGCGCGAGATGGGCTTGTGGCGATGCAGGGCCGCGCGCGTGTTTCGTGACTTCCGCAATGCGGTTACATCGAAATACGCGAGCTAGCTCTCTCGAGCCTAGCTCTCGCCCTCTATACACTCGCGTAAAGTGTCGGCACAGATGCGTGCAGCAGCAGCACACCTTCGTTCGTGTAATGCCACGCGCGGCTCTGTGGTTGCTCAGCTTTTCTCTTTCGTTCCGGTTCCATTTATACGTACGTATATAGGCGTTCACGGGAGGACAGGCCACTGTACGCGCGGGCTCTGCCATTGTCACCGGGGATATCGTCGCGCGTGTACCGATGATTCGCGAGCCAGCGCGTAATGTACATGCGTGGATGAGATGGGAGAACTAGTTAGGAATGTAAATTGCATCTCACTGATTTTTCGTGGTTTTGTTAGAGTGTTGTTGAAATGTTCAGCGAGCTGATGTTTCTTTTTTAAGCTTGTTTGGCTTGTAACGCATTGAGAGAAGGAAATGGTAAATATTGAAGTATGCAATCGGGATCGAATTTACCCGAAATATGTTTGAAAGTTCAATTATTATTATTATTTTGCCAAGAATTAGTTTCATGGTCAACACAATTTACACGTGTTTGCTGATCAAATCGATCTTAAACATAATTATGGGTTGTAGACTGCTGATTTGAATATTAAAATTCATTGTCTGACCAATATTGACTCGTACTACTTGAACCTTCAACTAGTTAGCTTGAACAAACTCAGACTTTTTCCTAGCTTTTATTCCTCATGAAATACCCAACGTGAATTGTATCTAATAAAAAATTAAAACATTATCAATACGATGTCGATGATTTCAGCACCGTCATCGGGTGTCAGCCAGAATCAGGAGTCGTCGTCTGGCTCCACTGTCTTGGGAGCTCAATCGGCGCCCCCGCCACCGGCTGGCTCCAATGTCTCGGGAGCTAAATCGTCGCCAGCGCCACAGCCACCAGCAACATCGACAGAAACTAATTCATTGAGTCAAGCCTCGTCGGCCGAGAGCTTCGAAGTCATAGAGCCATCCGAGGACTCGTCGATAATCGCTTCGACGCCAGAGACAATAATCAACCGACGACAGCAGCAGCAGCCACAACAACCTCCTCCACAATTTTAAATCAAGCTCCTGTCCCGTTTTAGGGGATGGGTCTTCATTTGTTTTTTTATTTATTAAATCTATTATGGTCTATCAGATATATAGGCGAAACAACGCGAGAGCAAACATAAATAATAAATAACAACAGTCAATGTGTCTATATTCCGATAGAACAAAAAAAAAACGAAAAAAGAGACATTTATACTCCCGAGCAATGTGTATAATGTTTTTGATAAGTCATTAAGGTTATTATAATTTATTAAGTTTCTCAGCTTTCTCATGTCACGTTGTTGATTTTTTTTCACAGTTATTTTTACATCTTATTATAAATATTATTGTTAAAAAAATAATTACGGTGCAAGAGAATAGACTTATATGTATCGCAAGACCGAGACATGAAAAAAAAAAAAAGAGAGAAAGAAAAAGCGAGAGAGAAACCTTATGCATGATTTGTATAGGCAAAAAAGACGCGAGAAAGAGTGTGCATCTTGTTTTTCCTTTTTTGGGTTCGCGTGACGCGCTCATTGTTATTTATCGATTTTATTTTTGTATAAAGGATTTTTTGTCAAACTCTGGGTGCGCGTGCGCTCCGACTCGTTACGTTACACACACAGCAAGCAAGCAGAGGCGTAATCGAACCTTTTTCTATATAAATATATATACATATACGAAGTAAATAAAATATTGTTCATTGATCTCGGTTTATATGAGACTTCGATGAGGAATTTGTATAATAAAAAAAAAGCAGAATAAGGAGAATTATATAATTAATTGAAAAGAAAAAAACTTAAAATACTTGTACAGCGAATTATAATAAATTAACTTCCAGCTAGTAGATTACAAAAAAAACGTCTTTATTTCTAATAAGGAGTAATGTAATAATGAATGGTGAAATTACGGTTATTATCCTGTTTATTTTGAGGAAATTAGATGTATAATGAATACCAAGAAAAGAAAGAAACGAAAAAAAAAACTATTGCACTAATGTACAAACATTTGAATAAAGAGAATATGCTAATCGACGATAAGCGCATTTTCATTTTCACTCACTATCCCGTGCAGCCGACAAAGCTCTCTTTGTTTATTAACAAAGTGTTCGAATTCGCAGGAGCGATATATATTGGCGCTGTGTTCCGCGCGTGGCTGCTATCATTTGCCTCGAACTGCCATCATTTACACTTGCCACGAGGCAGCAGCAGCACGAGATATATACAGACAGAGGGAGATTTGAAATAGATCCAAAGGCAATGAAAATTGATCGTATCTGTCTCTCTCTCTCTCTCTCTCTCTCTCTCTCTCTCTGTCAAGGGAGCAGCGTGTGGAAGAGATGAAACTCGCAGCTCTTTTATTTTTTTCTCCTCCCCGCTCAGCCGTATCCCATATATCTATGTGCGCTCGTTCGCGTGTGTTCGTCGTGCGGGTGCGGCGGTGTAGTACACGAGCAGCGGATGTTCGCCCCGAAACAGACAAATCGAAGCATGAAAGTGTCGCCACGAGAATCAAACAGGTGTTGCCAACGGCATGTATATAAGAGAGAGAGAGAGAGAGAGGAAACTCGCAGCAGTCGGATGAAGCCTCGCGCGCGCGCGCTTACCTACTGTACAAATGTAACGATTTGTTTTCATTTGCCGGAGTAATTGGCGAACAGTCAAAGTGACAAGTAAGGACGCGGCGCTTTGTAAACTTCAATGGCTTTTTTTCCTGCTCGCGCGCTCTTTCTCTCCTTCCTCGTACGTCCTCTCAAAGTTTCCTCCTCCTCCTACATTTCTTCTCACTCGCTCTCTTTTTCGAAGTTTATTCATTCGCGCGACGAAATATATATTTTTTAAAAGAGAGTTCGCAGCGTGTCGAGTAATCATTATCGAGTGGCGCATTAGTAGCTGCATAACGTTGCGCAAAGTAATCGTCTTTCCACTTTTGCGCGCCGAACAAGAAGCTCCGTGTATACCTATCAAAGCTAATTATCGGTGGATTTTGCATTTACATACGCACACACACGCGCGCTCATACACACAGAGTCAGTAGGTAATTTAATGTAGTGCCGAGAAGAGAGAGAGAGAGAGAGAGAGAGAATTTTCAAGTCTGCTGCAATTTCGAGGGTATATAGAAACGAGCTTGCGAGAGAGAGAGAGAGAGCTCGGGGGGGGTTCAGCGGGTGAGCTGAAAGCGAGACAGGCATCGAGATTGGAAAGCTCGGACGCACTAGCTCTCAGACAATATATATGTATGTAGGTACGTACATACATACATGGACGCGCGCAAGTATTTGGAATTGTTGCTACTGTAGTTGGGCTCCGCTCCTCTTCTACGTCCCATCAGAGGACAGTCCCGCCGGAGGCTCTAGTTCGGATTTGCACCGCACGGTCCAAAGTAACGCTGCAGCAATCAGACGACTACTTTATTTGATTAGCTGCCCGCGGTCTTTTGTTCCGTTCAAACGCTTCCTTTTGCTCTTTCTCTCTCTCTATCCCTCTTCTGCTGCCGCCTGCCGCCTCCACCCCCCCTCTTTTAGAGCTATCCTCTTTCTCTTCACCCTCTTTTTTATTGTCATTCTTCGGCACTTCCATGCGTACTGGCTGTGTGCGCTACACCATATTCTTCTTTATTTACTGTGCGTCGGGGCAATAAATACGGATAGGCGAGAAAAACAGATTTTTTTATTTTTTTTCGAAAAACCAGTCGTACACCTCGTTTTATCGACTCGCTGCGCGTCTCAATTTTTGCGCGAAACAAAGAGTATTTCTTCAATAGCCTCGTCGTAATTATCTTTTCAAATTATTTTGAAAATCCGTGCGCGCAGGACGCGAAAATAGCCGTAATGCAGGATAATGCAAAATATAAACAAAAATCCCGAGCTCGACGGCGGCAGCAGCTGTACTGCGGAAAAGAAAGAAAGAGAGAACATTTTGCCTGGGCGACACATGCCCTGCACACACGCGCTTGAGTACTTACACAAAAACAATAATCTCGTGCGCATGCATAAAGACAAGAGAGAAAATTAAAACGTCTAAGAGCGCTTCTTTATCCTTAATCCGAAACAAATAATAAAGTATAAACGCTGATGGATAACTATATACCAGAGAGAGAGAGACTCCCTCTGAAAGTAATAAACGTTTCGCAACGCAGAGAGGAGAGGAGAAAGAGGGAGAAAGAGGGAGAGTCGGGCGGGGGTAAGAAATGCACGCGGTACAGCTGCAAACGCGCGCGCAGAGTACCCCGTAAGATATACGCGAGACCAGCAGATGAACGGAAGAGGATAAAAACTAGTCGAGCGGAAATTGACCTCGAGGCTTATTTACTATGCGCGCGGAGGTTCGGGAGGCTGAGCTGGATAGAGCAAGTTGGCGCGATCTATATATATACACGTGTATTTCAAAAGTTCCCGTGCTGCTGCTGCCTCTACTACGTTATGTGTATAGGCTCGGGCGCGTCGAAAGTCATAAACAGTGCGCTTGTACGAATCTATATAATTAAACTCATTCAGGCAAACTCTGTGTACGGATATAATATAATAGGCGCGGATAGGGCGGGGAAAGGGTAAAGAGAAGGCGAAAACAATGGGCAACAACCCGGGTATAGGTACTCTTGTTAACGGGCAATAACGTCGATGTAGCGACATTGATTTTTCTTCATTTGTCTCGTCGCGCGCTGTACATATAGTTGACCGTGACTTCGACTTCTGCGCTTCCATCTCCGGCCTCGAGTTACGAGTTCTTTGTCTCGACGATTCCGTCACGTATTGATACGAGATAATTCTCAGGGAGTCGGCTATGAGAACGACCAGTTTGCTCCTAAAATTTACAGGAAATTTGACATAATTATTTATTTCAGTTACTCATATTTTGAACGATGTTATCTGGTAGATGACTTTTATGGTATAGATAGTTATGCACAACTTTGAGCTCTCGGTTTTCATGAAATCAAATTTTCAAATTTTTAATTGAACGAACGTCGAAAGAATATGTCTCTATATTTCATTGCCAGAATATAGGGACATAGGTCTTGGATAAAGTATTGCAACTTCGTTGATTAAAGTTCTTCTCGAATATGTAAAGAATTTTCAAATTTGACATTGAAACTAGTGCCTTTTCCAAAGGTTGGAAATCGTTTGTAAACAAATGAGATGATCGTGTTTACGAGTCAAACATCCGATGGAAAATATATTTTGGTTCATAAAAATTACCACCAGGAGGCTCAAGTGTAGCGAAAATACGTTCGCGCAAGAGAAAAATATTTTCCTCGTTCATATAATTACAATCTTCATCATACTTTCTTTCACGGGTTGATGTAAGCGTACAAAAACTTTCACGTTTTTGTGACTTACCCCAGTCCGTCGATAAAATTAATCAAAAAAAATAACTACATTAGATCCCAAAAGAAATTGGCATCAAACACGTAATCGATGTTAAATTGGAAAAGGATTTTGTCGACGATTGTCATCAAATTTCGCGTTCACAATTTTCTGATAATTTTTAAGTGAACAGGTTGATGCGAAATTCGACACTATTCAAATCGGTTTGGAATAACATTATGCACAGATTAATAGTAAGCTTGTTTGATAAGTCAAAGGTGTGAGAAAAGCCATTCAATTGAATAACTCCAATATGTTAATTTTGAACATAAAGTTAATTTTTTTCCTTCCGTTTTTCTCAAATTTTTAATACACTTTTAATAGTGGCAAATATAAATCCGATAGATGGGCAAAATTTACGCAAACCATCAAACACTAAAATTGATCCGAACTATATTAAAATTCTGAAGTTATTCCAAATTATACCTATTATAATATACGTTTAATCTCAAACTTACGTTCAAACTTACCGAATCTAAGCAGGGCCAAAATACAGATCGACTCGTCGGTGTTTTATACGTGAGGAATTTAAAAATAATTCGGTCATAAATTTTATCCATCTACCGGATTTATATTTGTCACTATTAAAAGTGTACTAAAAATTTGAGGAAAACGGAAGGAAAAAAATTAACTTTATGTTAAAAATTAACATATTGTAGTTATTCAATTGAATGGCTTTTCTCACATCTTCGAGTTATCAAACAAGCTCACTGTTAATCTGTGCATAAAGTAATTCCAAACCGATTTGAATAGTGTCGAATTTCGCATCAATCTGTTCACTTAAAAATTATCAGAAAATTGTGAACGCGAAATTCGATGACGATCATCGACAAAATCCTTTTCCAATTTAACATCGATTGCGTGTTCGATGCCAATTTCTTTTAGGATCTAATGTAGTTATTTTTCTTTGATTAATTTTATCGACAGTCTGGAGTAAGTGACAAAAACGTGAAAGTTTTTGTACACTTATATCCACCTGCCAAAGAAAGTATGATGAAGATTGTAATTATATGAACGAGGAAAATATTTTTCTCTTGCGCGAACGTATTTTCGGTATACTTGAGCCTCTTGATGTTAATTATTATGAATCAAAATTTATTTTCCATCGGATGTTTGACTCATAAACACGGTCATCTCATTTGTTTACAAACGATTTTCAACCTTTGGAAACGAGCTGTTCAGATTTGTATGATCAAGTGTGTTGCTAGTTAAAGCCAGTATTTTTCAGAAATGACTTTGTCTTTTATTATTAGCAGTCCCTTTATTATGTTTCAAAATGTATTGTTGGTATCAATTTTTGTGGAATTCGAAGTTTTACTTCTAACAACAATTTGCTCTTCTTTTTATTGATTTAAGAAATGAGTTAAATTTTTGTAAGAAAATGAAAGGATTAACACGATAATATTCGTTTTGGTTGTAATGAGATTCATCGCATTCAAAATAATTATTCTTGTTTATTAGCTTTTTGATTTTCTCAATAGATGGAGTATTCTAAATCTGCAAGTGGCAAAACAATGTTTCTTTTAGTATATAGCCAACTCTCTTGACACATAGCACACATTCGAGTATTTGAGTAATAGCTTATTATGATAGTCATAACTCTTTAATTCTCCATCAAATTTTTTATTTTCAATTGCTTTTAAATTATAAAGCAAAAACTGTGAGCTGTTTTGT